TATTAGCGACGACATTTTTTGCCGTCTCAAATAACATTTTTAGCGACGGTAAAATAGTGTCGTCGCAAAAAGTCAAGAAATTTCAAACATTATTAGTGACTGTAAAGTGCCGTCGCAAAAGGCACAAAATACCATCTCAAAACATTAGTGATGGCACTATGCCGTCACAAAAACTCTTTTGCAACGCCCCCAGTTGCGACCCCCTCTTGTTGTCGCAAAAAGTCATTTGCCGTCGCAAAAAGTTTTTTGCGACGACATTAGGAGTATGCCATCGCAAAAAGCTGAAATTTTAGTAGTGCCTCTTGGATGTCCTGCTAGTGCCCTGTAACAAAAGAAGGAAAATGCTCAAATTTGGCCTGACTGGTCGACCGCCCCTTAGTGGGTTCGGCCCTCCTATGTTGCTACTACTCTGTTGTTGCTCTGGTGTTGATCTATTGCTGTCTCAGGACTTATTTTATACTTGTTTTAACATTATTTTGCACTTCAAAGATTAAAAAAATAATATTTTAAAAAAATAGAATTTTAAAATAAAGAGTTTGATGGAATGTGTACATAAAAAAAAACTAACTGAAATAGAAAAGTGGATTTTGGGTTATAATTTGGCTCAAAATTTGCTGAGGCTGATACGAATACTCTAAGTAGATAGTCTTGGAAATAACATTTTCTTTAAGATTGAGCTTGAGATTATCACATTGACCTGATATTCGGCCGAACTCGACTTGACTATACTCAATACATAAGAAAAATAGAGCAAATTAAATTACATTAAATGGTAATGGCAAAATTTGTTGTGATCTCCTATTATTTCCGTCCCTTCTACATTTCAAAATATCTTTTTTCATCGTATGTCCTTGTAAAAAAAAATAATAATAATAAATAAATCAAAATTAATGAAACAATCATTCATCGTTGAATCCCAAACTTTATCACCATTATAATATTCTTTTCTTGTGATGCTAACAAAATGTGATCTGACTGGGCCAATATATTGATAACACTATTTTTACAGAGAAAATTGAAAATGTGATATTGAAGCTTTTCTAGTCACTTTTGTCCACTTACTAGTGAAGTTCTTGTGCAATCCCATTGATTCCACAACTTTCTCTACTAAGCACATCTATACTTTTCATTAATATTGGACATACCATAGGACTTTTAAGATAAAAGATGAGGCACAAAGTGGTAAAAAAAAAAAGTTGAATAAAAGAAGCTTTTCCAAGTCATGCTTTTTTATAGCATAGCCTTTTGAGCTATTGTAATAAGAGAGGCACTATGAGACAATGGATTGGCAGAATAAATGCTGACTGAGCTCCAAAAGTGGGGAACCTTAAAACCTGTCCCAATGTTATTTTCTGTTTTAATGTTTTCTCCATCATTTATATTTTAAATTTTAAAAATTTTGAGATATAGAAGTACAATTAAAAATGTTGGAATAGGTTCTATATTCCTAATAATTGGGGTGCTATCGACTAGTTTTGAGTGCGTAGTTTTAAATTTTAAAATTTTGAGAGGTATATGTGCGACTGGGAAGTATCGAAATAGATTTTGTGCTCCCAATAATTGGAACGCTTACGCTATGGGCCTGTTCATGGGAATGCATTTTGAGATACGATTATGCTTGCCAAGGTTCAATTTCATGCCATGAATAATTGGGGCACTATGGGATAGCTTATGGCATTAGAGGTTAGAAATGAGACATCCTCTTTCTTTTAAGTGTGTACCTTCGGAAAAAGAACATATTGTAAGAAATGTTACTCCACTTTGTAATATTAACATGGGTTGTTTGAGATGACTTAAATAAGTGTACTTTTTGTCTTTTTATAAAAAGATGGGTAGAAAAGTAGAGAGGTGATGTGATGGAAAAAAGATAAAAAGATAGATTATTTTTGAATTGCCAAACTTGGCCTAATTATGTTTACTTTGTGATAAAACAAATGAAAATTCATAGCGTGCACGTTGAAGTGGAAGTTTTAAACTATTGTAGTTATGTTATCATTTAGTATAAATATTATGGATTATTTGTGATGAGAAAAGTTATGATATGTTACAGTATTTGTTACTAAACATTGTACATGTATTAAATGCAAACATTTTTCGATTGGGATGAAATATGAATAAGAGATGGGTAAACGATATTGCTGGCCCGTGGCATTCTCTTTGTGAAGGACAAAATTGTCCTTTGAATTTCACAGGAGAATATTCACTTTGTTGGCAATTTTGTTTTCTCACAAAAAGTTCTCCCAAAATGCCAAATTTACAACTGGGATATGGTCTTCTTAAGAATAAGGATAATCGCTCTATAAATTTTCTTGCTTTTCGTTTCATTTTCATGATTTTTATCTAATGTATAAAAAATTTAATTAATTAATTTATTTTTTTGTATTGACCAATCTATTCTATTATACAAAATGTACAACCCAATAAAAATTTGCCACAGTTTTTTTCATTTTCAAATTATCTTACAACTACCTCATTTTTTTTCTTCTCAATTTGAAATTTAATTTTTTTTAAAATTCTTCAATTTTCTTTTCCTTTTCATCTACATAACCCACCTATTTTCGTTCTTGCATATCGGATGGACCTTCTTTTTTGGGCTTTTGGATACAGGCCCACTTACGTTTGAAGAGAGTGCAGAAACCACGAAAGGTTCGAATAAGTTTTTTTTTTCTCACAAAGTGTATGGATTGTATGTAGTCTTCATTCAGTTAGACTCCGTGGTGGATCAAGCCAACTGGGCTTATTGTACATATTTAGCTCCAAGAAGTAATGAGCTGGAGGCCCACAATTGATCCTAAATAAAGCTTCCCTAGTCAAATTTTAAACCTTTTCTAGATGATGAATAATTTCATTTCTTTTAATTTTATTATTCTTGACAAATTTTAAACGGTGGTACTATATGTACTAATTAGTATATCAACTAGTGTATTAACATATTTTATGATATTATTACAAATCTTGCCAATTATTTAAATTATAAATATTTAAAATCTTTAAAATTATACCACATCTTTAAAATTACTTGAGACCCACTGCCACAATGTATTTTGTGCTTTGTTTTTGTTTTTGTTTTTTTTTTTTCAATTTCCACCTCACTAGTGGTGGGTTTAGAGTTTCTTATTTAGAGCTCTAAATCATTGCTGTTCCTGTTTTGACGCGGTGAGTGATGAGTTCACATTTATTGAATCTCTTGTCTTAGCATACAAGACAAGAACACCCTTCAGTCAAAGGTGAGTGATGAGTTCACATTTGGTGAATCTCTTGTTTTAGGTTTAGTTTGGCATTCTTTAAAAAAGTCAAAAAGTTAAAAAATTATTATCACATCATCTTATTTAGGTCACATCAATTTTCTAACACATTACTTCAAATCTAACCCATATTTCATAAAAAGTCAAAAAGTACACTTATTTAGAACATAACATACAAGATAAGAACACCCTTCAATCAAAGCATTCAATAAATTTGTATTTTTTTTATTTTTTATTTATTTATTTTTATCGATTTAATTCATATAAGATATTATAATGAAACCCAATAAATTATAATCATAATCAATAAAATACAATACAAACTTTTTATAAATAAACTTTCATGGTGAGAGAAAAACCTTTCTATTAATACACAAAAAATAAATTTATATTTTAAAAGCGAAATAAAGGAAAAATATTGGTAAATTTATAAGGGGAAATTACCACACCCAGTGGTATTTTCATAAAATTATTACAAGTTAAGAAATTTTTTTCATTAATTTGTATTTTTTTAAAAAATATTTTAAATTAAAATTTCCCCAATTTCAAATTGAGTGCCAATAGTTGATGTTTGATGTAAAAACAAGATGCTGCTGTACTTTACTCAATGAAATTGGATTTTCTCAACTCTGACTATTTAACTTGAGATAATGTTTGGATTTGGTTGGTTCATTTTAGAGTTGACTTTAATGATTCAAATAATTTAGTTTTTAAGATTCATTGAATAAAATATTAAATATCAATAATTATATATTTTAAAAAAATAGATCACAATTATAAAAGTGAATAGTTCGATCATTTTAGTTTTTGCATGCTTGACCCTTGTATTTTTAATAATATACTTAACTAGCCTTAAAAAATTAATTACATTAGTAATATTCTTGTGAATAAATCTTAAAAAATGAATAATTTGGATTATCTAGATCTGTTTCAAAATGAGCCCACAAAATCTAAGGATTGTTTTGGAAAGTGACTTATGAGTTGACTTTTTGACTAATTATAAAAAGACATGCAAAAAATAAAAAAATAAACACTCTGTTTTGTTTCAGTTTTTAAAATTCACTTTTTAAAAAATTCTACTTTTTTGTTTTCTATAATTTTTTTTTGTTTTCACTAAAATGTTTTAATATTTAAGCAATTTTTATAATTTTTAAATGTACCTAATATAAATACACTTAAAAAGTATAATATTTGTAAAAAAAATCTTTAAAAAATTCACTAAATATCAAAAATATATAAAAAATACAAAATTCAATACATTTAAAAAAAATATTTTTATGTATTTATTAATTTTTTAAAATATATTTTTACAAATATTTTACTATTTAGATACATCTAAGTGAGGTACATCTAAAAAAGTAAAAAAAAAATGTTTAAAATTTTTAAAATATTCACTAAAAATAAAAAAAATACGAAAAATAAAATATTCAATTTAAAAAAAAAATAAATTTAAAAAACTGAAACTAAACAAATTGAATATAACTCAAAATAAATCAATAAACCAATAAATTAGCTTATAAACTGATTCTCAAAAGAGTCCTAAATAAATAAATACTATCCAAATCCTAAAATTTTAATATTAATTTGTACATAATTTAATTCTTAACCACGAAGGCATAATGAAGGATACTTTTATTATAGTTATTATCTTAATTATTGTTTGAATTGTAAACCGTTCTAAGACGTAACGGTTGTGTTGTTCAAACAAAAAAAAAACAAAAGAAAAAAAGTAACGGTTGAGAATCAGCAGTGAACGTCAAAATTCGAGCTCTTGTCATCTTTTTAACGAATAAATATCAGTATTGACAACCGAACTATTCAAACCTCAATTCAAAAAAAAAATAAAGATCAAAAAATTCACAGCTCATTCCTACTGTCATCAACAGCTTCGAAACGAACATTCTCGATTATATCATCAATCACCACCGCCATCACTATCATCTTTCTAGGGTTCTTCGCTCTCTCTGTTCTCTCTATCGGATATTCGATTCAAACAAGAAGAAAAACGATGACTCAGATTCCAACCCAAGTCGATCATCACATCCAAGCAAACAATCCACCACCAGAATCCGACCACCACCACACCACCGACTACGCTCCCTACCCGAAGCTCGACCCCACCGACATCGCTCCTCCCGCCGTCGACGTTTGGACTTCCGTCCCCGTCTCCGCTCCGCCGGCCGCCGAACATCCGCCGACCAATCCTAGGGTTTCGTCCCCCGAAGGTCCCGCTCCGATCGCCGGCCAGTCCGCCACCACCATGCCTCCCGAGTCCAATCCTTACGTCGCTCCTTCGCCGGTACCGGCTTCTTCGATTAAGAGTAAGTGTTGACTCATCTGATTGATTTGGTGTTGGAAATTAGTGATTTTGATTTGATGTGATTGTGGTTTTTTGGGAATTAGATACGATGGATTCAGTGAAGGATGTGCTGGGGAAATGGGGAAAGAAGGCAGCTGAGGCAACAAAGAAGGCTGAAGATCTAGCTGGGAATATGTGGCAGCACTGTAAGTCTTTGCTTCATGTATTTTTTTTTAATTTATGGTTTTGGATACTAGTTTTGACCTAGAATTAAGCACAATGTTCTTATAGATTACTAACACATGATCGATCAATGATATCATGACTTGATAGATATGCATATTTTGATAATTTTCTCTGGCAATTCTTCTTGAAATTGATCACTCTTATGCTGTGTTTGGTTGGGAGTTTTGGGAAAGGATTTGGAAACGAAAAGGAAAAAGTTGTGTGAAATGTAGATATGTTTTATTCATATTTTCACCTACCTTTTCCTTTTCTCTTTTCAAATCTCTTTCCGAGTCCTCCAATCAACCACAACATTAGTTAATGGAGGCATGCAACAGAGTGACTGGTACTGAAAACTAAGGTATTATGTTGCACCATGGCTAATATTGTATATGTAAAAAAAATTCGGGCAAGGATGAGGTAATGCTAACCCTTATCCTTCTTCAGCTTAACAGTTGTTTTGCTTCTCTTATTTTTCTTCTTACTTGGAATATATGATTATTTGGAGCTTAAATGAAATGTTTTATGTGGGTGTGGGTGTGTATATATGTTTATGCATATGAAATTTTTTTGCCTGCCCAGCAGCCAGTGTGGATGATACTTGAAAATTTACACTTGCTAGTTGAGTTGAAGGTGACAATTGTAGGCCAATTTACTTGGTACTTTCTTTGTCTTCTACTTTTATTTCCAGTACACCCTGCATCTTGATGCACTTTAAGACCTAAAAAGCAGGTTGAAGTTCAGTCTCTGTTCTCACTAGTTGAACGCTACTTTCTGGCACGGGTCTGTACCCTTTAAAGGAGTCCGACTTTGGATTCCCATGACATTTAAGGAAGATATCATGATGATTTTATTGATGTAGCCGTTTTATTGCATTAATGAACTTCGTTTTGAATTGTCTAGAAACGAATTAATTCTAGGTTGGGCTTCTTTACACCCGGAGTTTAATTTTGGCTAGCTGTTTATTTTAATGACTTTAAAACGTTATGACACGGTTTTACAGGTTATACTTTGTTGATGGTTCTAGCACAGTAAACATTTTATATTTTCCCTTGTTTTAGCGGACATTATGATTTATAGGTTTTTCATTTTTGTCACTGTTTTTGTGGTTCTTCAGTGTTCATTTTATTTGTTTTTCCACTTCTATTGTTTGGTCTTATGTGTAAGTATACTTCAGAAAAGAATGGTCAAAATTCATTTTGCACCTTGTGGTATGATCCCCGTGTGTTTTATTCCCATATTTCTTAAAAACAGTCAATTACCCATTATGTAACTAAATTGCAATACCAACTCCATTAACTTTATTTGTAAAAGGAAATTTTTACCCTTGGTCCTCCACCATCAACTCATTTTTTCCCGGCCATCCTCTACCAGATTACAACCAAACACAACATAATTTTTTTTTGCACTATTTTGTGGACATATATAATATACATATATATACAATGTTGAACTATGCATTGGATCCAAATTTGGAGAAGTATTGTTGGCATTGCACAAATGCACGGGATTGAAAAAAGTTTCTAATTTACAAAGGAAAATGCAACGCAATTAGTTAATTAGTGAGTGAATGTAAACTTTAGATCAATTAACTAATTTGCCACATTTGAATCTCTTATCACTATGGATCTTAGATCTGGTATATGTGTATATAGATGAATAATTGTGTGTAATGTATGTATTGGTAGATCTATAAATATATATGAATCTTAGATCTGTGCTGCGGTGCAGTGCAGCTATTAGCTGGGGAGGAGGGATGGGGTTGGCGAGGGAGGAGATTGGTAGTGGTGGAGAAGATGAACGGAGGTGGTCGGAGGGGTAGCTGGTTTAGGGTTAGGGTTGGGGTTAGGGTTTTCTTAGGTAGAAAATGAAGACAATGGTGATTTTGTCCTTTTAGATTAAAACTTGACTTTGACTTGCCTTTTCCTCCCTTCCCAACTCTAAAAACTAGTGTGTGAGCTACATATTTTGTCAGTTTGGACGAAAAATGTAACGGTAACAATTTAGTTCAAAACTATCCCTGGGTAATTAACTATTTTTAGAAGACAAAAGGAGAAGTGCTTTGGGGCCATGAATTTTGCTCAAAATAAAAAATACTTTATTGTCATTATAATTTATTTAGTCCTTGCCTTGCCTAGTTACTGAATTTCTTTGTGATGTATATGGAGTTGCTTTACAGACTGACCTTTACTTTTTGTGTGTGCATAAACTGACCTTTACTTGTACCAGTGAAAACGGGTCCCAGTTTTGCTGATGCTGCTGTTGGAAGAATTGCTCAAGGAACAAAAGTTTTTGCAGAAGGTGGTTATGAGAAGGTCTTTCGACAAACATTTGAGACTGTTCCTGAGGAGCAACTTTTGAAGCCATATGCATGCTACCTATCCACTTCTGCGGGTCCAGTTATGGGAGTCCTATATTTGTCTTCTGCAAAGCTAGCTTTTTGTAGTGACAATCCTCTTTCCTACAATGTTGGGGACCAGACACAATGGAGCTATTATAAGGTAAACTGTGGTTTGTGTTGTAGTCTTATATTTGATCTAGGCTGGGTAGAAGTTAATGCTTTGAAAGTTTGAAGCTTGTCTTTAAGTGGCTATGGGAGACCCAGGTTACTTATTATCATTATATATTATTTCCTTAGTACTACATGCCAACCATTTGGAGTCGGTGGTGGTGAAATTTTGAAAGGTGGAGAGCGAGCGATTTAGTTCAGAAGGATGAGGAAGAGTTCTGCAATTTCCAATTTCGTGTATTGCACGAGGTTGTGCAGTTTGATGAAAGGAAAATATGGAGCAGACTTTAAGTATGGTTGTGATTAGTACTAAATTAAATAATACAGACTTTAAGTAGGGTTGTGATTAGTACTAAATTAAATAATTAATTAATTAATATAGCTATATAACTTTGTCTTGGGACACAGAGAAACTCTACTAGTGGAATTCTATTGATGAATCTAGGCTTGGTAGCACTACACGTGTTTTCTCAAATTGGTGTTATATCAATTTTCTCCTCTAATTGAAATGGATTTGAATTCGAGAAAGAACTTTAGTTGCAAGAATCTCCTATCGGGGGTGACATTTCTGCTCTATAATCGCAATTTTGTGGTCCAAAGCAAGAATCATGTTAGAACTGTGCTTCTTTTGAGATGGAATCGTGGTTCCAACTGGGATGGGACTGGTATCAAACATATGAATTTTAAAGAGACAAAATGCAGTCTAAATTAAACCATGTATGGAGCATAGCGTGTATTTATTTGTAGGAAACAAATATTTATTCTAGGTTTTGTCTTCCCTTTTTGGAATTAAAGGATAAGGATTTTTGATAGATTTAAGTGGTAGTGTAGTGTGGACATTTAACATATATGTTACATCTAAACCCAAAAAAAAACAAAAAAAAAACCTCACAATATCACTATACCCTTCTGGTGTGGTACTTTGGGAAATACTTGACCTTAAGTATCTTGGGTTGAGGTATCAGACAGTTGCACTAAGACATATGGTATGCTGAATTACATGAAGCAACGTGCTGAATGGTCTCTGTCTTGTTACAACTAATCGATCTTTGTCTACTAATTTCTTAAAATCATGAATCATTCATTCTGTCTAATGTTCAATTACTAAGCCTTCCTTAGCATCACTGACATTGTTGTGCACTCTTTCTTCTCCTTATGTATAAATAGGTGGTTATCCCATTACATCAGCTGAAAGCAGTTAATCCTTCGACAAGCAAAGTAAACACTGCTGAAAAGTACATTCAGATCATCTCTGTTGACAATCACGAGTTTTGGTTCATGGGATTCGTAAACTATGATAGCGCCGTCAAAAAGCTCAAAGGCATGCTGGAGGGTCACAGCTCATGATCTGCATGAAGCATATATTTTCCACCATGTCACGAAGGTACATCATATATTCCTATCAAGTTGATGTAGATAAAATACTTGTGTGGAACTTATAATTATATGGGGAATGGATATATGTTATGTGCTCTTCTTATTTGAGTGAGCGTCTGGTATTCTTGTGGTGTCATTGAAGAGTTTTTCTTGTGTGATTCATCTCGAGGACAGTGTAATTGGTACATTTTTATAGGTTGATTGTTAATTTGTATTTGTATTTAGACATCATCACAATGTAATTTTGTTACATTTCTTGTTTCTGTAGCAAGTGTTGATTCTATTACAGACAGGAACAATTAGGTTTTATTTAATGTTGTGGGTTGTGCTATATCTTCTGAACTTTGATGCATCAGCATCTCACATTCTGCCATCTTCTGTCAGTGAGGCGTTGGTTTTCGTGATTTATTCTAATTATCTTCTAGTTTCACGTGTATAGATCAGTTTTGGAAAAAAATTAGATGTATTTGATAATTATAGTCCTCTCCTCATGTTTATTTTCGAAGAAATCTCATGGTATGTTTTTAAAATTATAATTCGTATTTATTTAAAATAAATAAATATAATAAAATAAACATACTAAATTATTGGAACAAATGTGGCATTTGGTAAAATATCGAATTGCACCGTGGTCATATAATGATATAGAGGGTGTGGACGAAGCTCGAACCCGAATCATATGTTAGGAAAGGGCTTTCATCATGGTACCACTGGGCTTAGTGGCTAGGCCTTGGGAATATGGAGCTCTGGCCTCTGACCTTTCAAGAGCTTCAAGCCATTAGAAGGGACTGGACTAAAGCCCATTTCACTAGAAATGAAATGCAGTAAATTCGGAGTCAAAGTTGGGCCAAATAATTGGTGAACTTGAAGGGTTTCACTACTTGGGCTTATTTTAACTTTAAATTTTGTTAATAACTTAAATTCAATAATTGTTAAAAGACTCGGATTCATTTAATTTGATGTGATGTATTAGAGAGGTGATGTGATTTAAATAAGATGATGTGACTTAAATAAGATAGTAACTTTTTGACTTTTTGACTTATTTAGTACATGCCAAGTTCAGAATTTAAAAATTCTTTTAGAAGTGAATCTGGTATAAGAAAATTGTTGTGTTGAACTTTGGATTGGTTTAGAATTTTTTTTTTCAATTAAAATGACAAAAAAAAAATAAAATTGTTAGAAAATTTATTTTTACAAAAGTTGTGTAAAAAGTAAAAAGAATAGAAAAAATAATTTTTGAATAATTTTTTATTTTTATATTAGAGCATCTTTAACAGTATATTAATTTTTTTTATCACATTTGAATAAAAACTTCCTTTGATATTAAGTGCTTTAACGGAGGATATTAGAGTTCCATCAGAACACCGGTCAACCTGTCAGTTTAATTTTTTTTTATTTTTTTATTTTTATTTTTTGCCTTGAGGTAGTCAACTGACCAGTGTAATGTTTTTTACAAATTTTTGCCTTCAGGTGGTTCATTCGAGAGGACATCCGGGAGACATTCAGCAACAACAATGAATAAAGATTTGATGAAAGACACATGTATTCTCAGTTTAATAAAAGAAAAGTGAAATTTTTAATTTGATACCTATTTAATATAACCATTGAAACAAGAAAAGAATTCATTTTTCATTAAATTTAAATTTAAGGAGAGGTTTGGATAATCATTAGAGATGATCTTAACCGATCACATTTATCTTTTTAATTAATTATATTAAAACCTTGTTAATTAATGGGGGGGTGTTTGGATTGGGCTCTGTTTGTTTGTATTTTCAAATTAACTTTCAACACGTGAACTCCGGCTTCACGTTTGGATAGGACATTCAAAATACAATTCCGCATGTTAATTCAAATTATAGTTTGAAAACTCGTTTGGCAGCTTGTACTTCAGTTCTTCATTTTTAACGTTTCTGCCTTCTTCCTCTTTTGATCTGAAAAGCTTTCATGTCTTTCTCCATCGTCTCTGAAAATTTCACGTGAACTTCATCTTTCTTTCTCTTTTGATCTGAAAAGCTTCCATGTCCTTCTCCATCGTCTTTGAAAATTTCACGTGAACCTCATATTTCTTCTGTATCACGTGAACCTCATATTCCTTCTCTGAAAAGCTTCCACTGAGTGAGAATTGGTGTGAGATGGGATGACCGGCCGGATCACCGCCCCGTTGTCCCAGTCCGACTTCCTGGTGTTCGATTATCTGAGGTTCAGAAGGTTCAGGTTGTTTTTTATTTTTTATTTTACTTTTGATTTCTTATCTATTATTTTTTTATAATATTAATAATTTTTTAATAATATTACATCTGCATACTGAACAAATACTGAACAATCTGTTACGACTTTATTACTTAGTGTATTTATGTTAATTTTTATTAATATGTATTCTCATAAGTTGTTGACTTTAACAAAATTTTAGAAAAAAAATAAAAAACGTATTGTAGAAGATGTTTGTACAGGCGTAAAAAATAAATTGATAGGAAATTTAATTGACACAAAATAATTGACATAGATTTATTTTAAAATGAAATTTTTTTTTAAAAAAAATTACTGAAAAAAAGTTAATTGAAAAAAAAATCAATTTTTAATTTCAGTATTTTAAAAATAGTTTGGTTATTACTGCTGATAAAAAATACGGATATCGATATATGAGTTATGTGTTTAATTATAAATTATTAATTGAATTAAGTTTTGAAAACTATTTCCAAAACACATCACCAAACAAATTTTTTTATTTCACATGTCACATCAAATTTTCAAAACTTAATTCAAAATACATCTTCAAAACACATTTCAACACTATTTAAAAACCATAACCAAACAAATTTTTTACACTCAAATCATAATTTCACAATACACAAACTCAAAATACAACTCATACTCTCAAATCGCATTTACAAAACTCTACCAAACGCTACCTTGGTTTTTGTTTTTGTTGTTTTTTTTCACTAAAAGACAAATTGGTTACAAAATCAAAAAAAATTAATCCAAACAAAATATCGCATTAAACCCCATAATCATTTCACTTGTTATCTTACAAACATCACATCCAATCACAAAAAAATCCAACTATCTTTCTAAACACAATTTTTTTTTCTCCAACAATATCCTACAACTAAAAAAAGGACAATGATTGGTGGCCACAAATTCTGTGGTTCAAATCGTCCGAAAATGTCAATACGAAAACGACGTCGTTTTTGGTACAAAACAACTCTGAAAATGTCAAACTCAAAATACAACTCATACTCTCAAATCGCATTTACAAAACTCTACCAAACGCTACCTTGGTTTTTGTTTTTGTTGTTTTTTTTCACTAAAAGACAAATTGGTTACAAAATCAAAAAAAATTAATCCAAACAAAATATCACATCAAACCCCATAATCATTTCACTTTTTATCTTACAAACATCACATCCAATCACAAAAAAATCTAACTATCTTTCTAAATACAATTTTTTTTTCTCCAACAATATCCTACAACTAAAAAAAGGACAATGATTGGTGGCCACAAATTCTGTGGTTCAAATCGTCCGAAAATGTCAATACGAAAACGACGTCGTTTTGGGTACAAAACAACTCTGAAAATGTCAAAACGACGTCGTTTTGATATTTTCAAATCATTTAAACCTTAAAATTTATGACCACCAAACATTTTTTTTAAAAAAATTTACAAAAAATTTACTTCCCAAACACCTACTATTACATTATAGTAGTTCGTAGATTTTTACCTGAGAACTTGAGTGTGCAATCTATTTATTAATTAATTAATTTAGGGGCACAAAATAAAAAGGTTTCAGAAAACGTCATGATAATGGAGGGAAGGAAATTGACCTGGTTGTGGTGAAGAATAGGGACCCACTACTGTGTAGTGGACAGCTAGCTGAGCCAAGGACTGCAATCCTTACAGACAACAATCAATGTTTAGTTTTGTAGTACAGTACACCACACCACACCCCCTCCTCCTCCCCCTTTTAAATTTAGGAATTTTGTTTTTTCTCAACTATTCCTCCTTTGAAATATTTAAACAACTATTCCTCCTTTAAACTGTATTTATGTACTTTATATATTTTAAAAAAAATAATAATCACCATGTGTTTTCAACTTTTAAAAAGCACTTGTCAAAAAATTTAGGCCGTGTTTGGAACGATTTTGAAGATCGTTATCTACGATTGAATTCACATACGGTGTTTGGATAGAGTTGTAAAATTAATTTTTCATAATTCTGCAGAAAATTTTGTCAAACAGAGCGTGATTTTTAAATTTTTTTGTTCGAAATTTGGCCTAATCGGTCTTCCGGCCGGTTGACCGGAACAGTGAATTTTTTTATTATTATTTTTTGCAATTAATATGTTAATTTTTATATATTCAAAAAAATTATTTTCTGAATTTTTTAAAATTTTTTATGTGCTTTAAAATAATTTTGAGTTGTATGTTTGGTTACGAGTTGTAAATTTTTGTATCAAATATCAAATGTCACATCAAAAATTTCCCACTCAATTCAAAATTATTTTCATCAAAGAAATTTTTCACACTCAAATCATAATTCCAAACCTTGCAAACTCAAAATACAACTCATACTCTCAAATCATAGTTACAAAGCTCTATTAAACGCAACCTTACTTTCTTATTTTTCATATTTATTTATTTTTATTAATTTTTTTAATATTTTAAACCGAGTTGTAAATTTTTGTATCAAATATCAAATGTCACATCAAAAATTTTCCACTCAATTCAAAATTATTTTCATCAAACAAATTTTTCACACTCAAATCATAATTCCAAACCTTGCAAACTCAAAATACAACTCATACTCTCAAATCATAGTTACAAAGCTCTATTAAACGCAACCTTACTTTCTTATTTTTCATATTTATTTATTTTTATTAATTTTTTTAATATTTTAAACAATTTTTTAAATTTTTAAACACACCTAATATATTAAAAAGTAAAATTTTTGTGAATTTTTACTAAATATCAAAAATATAAAAAAATACGAAAATCTAGTATATTTTTCATATTTTTGTATATTTATAAATTTTTTAAAATATTTTTTCACAAATATTTTTTTTAGATATATCTAAGTAAGATGCATCTAAGAAAGTACAAAAAAATGTTTAAAATTTTAAAAATACTCACTAAAAAAAATGAAAATAAAAAATCCAGTTTTAAAAAATTGAATTCAGAAAACTGAAATCAAACACGTTGATAGTTTATGTTTTTTAAGTCATAATTAATAAAATATCATAATTAAATACAACATAAAACATAGTCAAAGATATCATGAGTCATAATTAAAATAATAAAATAACTAAAAAATAAAATTAGTCATAATTAAAAAAT